TTCGGCTCTGAGATCAGAGCACAAACCAGTTCTTCCTCGCCTTTCATCATCGCTGCGCTGGGGCGTGAGCAAGGCCCAGCTCTGCTGCCGCTGCCTCACATGGAGTTGAGAGCAGGGGAAGGCGCTTTGGCTCCTTCTCCAGGCAGGGCCGCTCCAGGTTCGCTCCCCTGGGCCCGGGGCAAGGTGCTCCTTTGGGCACACAACCGGGCATGGCAGTTGCGGGGACCAGCATGGCCAGGAACATTGCCTGGGCGAGGAGTGGCTGTAGTGGAAATGGCAATTACAGTTAATTTGTTGTTAATAAGAAACACCCTCTTCCAATTGCCTGGGCCAAGATGCACTCTCCATTGGAGGAGGGAGCCCAGTCCCCAGCAAAACCTGCCCTGCAAAGTGATGAGAGTAGCAAGAAAATACCCTCGGCAGTGCTGAGGGAGGCAGGGCTGGGGCACAATCCCTGCCTGTGCTCTGTGCACCCACGGTCAGCTGGAAAGTGCTTTGCCCTAGCCTGGCAGGGGCACACAGGGACCCCAAATGTGCCAGTCAACCGTGTGGGACCCTGCTTTGCAGGAGACATGGCATTAACAGTGTGTCCTGGATCACGCACTGGGCTGCTGCAGGGACGATGCAGAGGGAAAGTTGTCTGGCAGGGCAATGCTGCGGTGCCCATGCCACCGTGCCTGCACCGGGGCCACGCAGACCCTGCTCTGGGACATATCTCTTCCTGCCAGCCTGGCCTTCCTTTCCCTCCTTGGTCATCTCCTGGCAAAAAGACCCCTAGGAGCCATGGTGGTGGATGATGCAGATGTCCCTGAGCCCCCCTGCAAACCTTAAAGCTCAGCCCTGTGGCTTTGGGGTGCAGTCGAACCAGCACAGCGGGGAAGGGAAAGAACGAGGCATGGAGAAACACCTCCCGGCATGGGGGTGAGTCACGGCCGCAGTGTGGCATGGCACCCTGCAGTCACCTGCCAGCAGGAGTGGGGTCCTGTGGGTTTCATGGCTGGACGGGGGGTCAAAAGAGCAGCTTGGGTGGGTTTCTGTCCTCTGGGGGTGACCAAGATTGTGGGGATCCCCCGTGCTGCAACCAACAGGTCCCACAGAGCTGACCTGGGGATGCAGAGCCATGGGGAGAATGGGGGGCCGCAGGTCTGGGAGGGCTCCTTGCTCAGGGCTTGACCCTGTGGTTGCTGCAGTCCAAGGGGACAGCATGGAGCTGGAGAGGGGATGTGGGTGCTGGAGGTGGGACACAGCCTGGGTGCTCTAGGGTGGGAGGGGTGATTTGGAGGGGCTGACACAGACCTTCCCTTGCCACAAAACAAAGTGGGAGCTGGGGTTCCCAGGGATAGGGCATCCCTGCTGAGGGATGCTCCCAGGGCTGGTGTCCCCCATCCAAGCAGGGCAGTGGGAAGTGTCCCATCCCTACCACAGCAGGAAGGTCCAGCAGCCTGTCCCTGCGTCCCTGCTGCCTGGGGTGGGCCAGGTGCCGTGATAACGGCGCTGTGGCTGTCACCGCACCCTTAGGAAACATTTGGCTTCAGGCACCTGAACCCATGGGGAAGCGATAACTCCCCAGCTCGCTCACCCTGCCTGGACCCACACCTGGCACTATCGTGCCTTAGTCACTCACTGAGAGTTTTTCCACTGCCGGGCCCCAGATAATCTCCTCCTGCCCCACTGGCCTCAGTGTTTGCACTTGTCCTCCTCCACTGGTGCCAGGCTGGGAGACACACACACACACCTTGAGCCCCAGGCTGGAGGCACGCACACCTCTGGCCTGGGGCCACCTACGGCCATGCCTGGCAGCCAGGGCGCTGGCAAAGGGCACGAGGAGCATCCTTCCCCCAGGACCCTGGGGTGTGTAGGTGGCTGGCCAGGAAGGGGTCAGCGTTGTCCTCCGGCCAGGGCTAAATGTGGGGGGATATCCCTCCCCAAGCTGCTGGGTGGCAGTGAGGTCATGCAGGGTTGGTGCCCTGTGCCTGCAGGATGGCAGGAGATGGGTGATGGGGTTGCAGTGATGGGACTGTGATGCTGGCTGTTGCTGTCCCCCTGCCAAAGCCCTGGGGCACAGGGGCACTGGGCTCCCCACCATTGCTGGCTTTCCCTGACCCGCTGCATTCCCTGGGCTCTCCCTCTGCCTCGACAAGGCAGGACCCTGGTGCTCCAGGGAGGTGACAGACCTGGGCATGTTTCCACACGCAGGACTCCCATGGATGGCATTGGGGGTGTGTGAGCTGACCAAGGTCTCCAGCTGTGCCCCTTTGCTCTTTGAAGGCTGTGCAAGCTCTGGGATGCAGTGGCTGCTGCCCAGAAACAACATCCCCAGGTCCCTTTGAAGGCAGCGCTGATCACTGCACTGTGGAGCAGGTTAGCAGAAGCGCCCAGCAAATGTGTTTCACTTGCAGGTCCATACAGCTCCTGGTGGGACGCAGCCCCGCAGTGACACCCATGCTCAGAGAGGCACGGGGGAGGTGGGCTGTGAATAACGCAACCCAGCTGCCCACAGTCTCCACATTGCATGAGATTAAAAAGCTGCTGCCCTGGGGAGAGGAGCTCAAAAGGTGCTGTGAGCTTAGTTTGTTGAAAAGGAGTTGATCACCCTGCATTGGGGCAGAGCTTGGGCTGAGTCTTGCTGGGATAGGGCTGGAAGCTGGGCTTGAGCAGGTCAGGCCTAAAAGTGGGGGATGTAATCAAAACCCAAGGACACCAAATGGCCACCTGTCTCTGGGTTTTATTTCAGGACTGGTTGTGTTTTCTATAAAAGTGCTGTTTAACAACACAAACAGACCGTGAACGACCTGCGAGCGAGGGGCAAAGA